CTATGGAAACTTACTTTTTAATATCAGTATGTTTATAAAAAGAAATGGGGGTTGGGATAATAGTTTTATCTTAAATGTAATTAAATTATTTTTTCTTTAAGTTTCAAGTAGTACATGATTGATTTCCATGAAATATACAGAGTTAGTGTTAACTTAGTTAAGAATTTTTATTCAGCAATCATTGATATGGATGGAATTAGCATATTTTTACTGAAATCATCTGAAGGGCTATGAATGGCATTGTGGCCCCAAACGGAGGATGCACTAAGGAATTATGACGGCATATGGAAAACAAGACTTTGTTGTCATTATATTAAAATTTTCCATTTGTCCCTCAAAATTCTAATTTTCATGGACATACCTTTCCACTACCCATTATTCAGACAGGCTCAGCTAAAGAAAGTGGTCCCATCAAAATTATTTGAAAAACTGCACTGGGAAGTCTTTAATTTTGCCTGAGTGATTAGACAATTGCAGGGTCCAGTTTAAGAGACATTGAAATTTGTCATTTCAAAAATTGTGCAGTTTTTGCAACTAAATTCTTTTCTGAAATGCACACGAGGCCAGCTACTAACAATGCAAATGAAGCTTGTTGTGTGCTAGAGGTGATCATTGGGAAAGTGTCAATATCTCTATAACACCAAGTGACAAAGGCTGGAAACCAAGCGTGGTAACAAACCCACTGCCATCAAATCGATTATGACTCTTAGTGACCATACAGGACAGAGTAGAACTGCCCCACAGGGTTTCCAAGGCTGTAAATCTTTACGGATGTAGACTGCCACATCTTTCTCCCGCTTAGCGGCTGGTGGATTTGAACCTATGACCTTTTGGTTAGCAGCTGAGTTCTTAACGACTACACCGTCAGTACTTAATAGGTGGGTATAATTCAAAAGAAAACCTTGCAATTTTAAAGATACAAAAAATATTCTCTTCCTCACTAATATAATTCCTAACTAAATTCCTTAGTGAACTCATTTAATTACTGTGGTTGTTTTTAGGTCCCCTTGAGTCAGCTCCTGCTCATAGTGACCTCATGCATAACAGAGTGACACCTTGCCTGGTCCCGGACCACCTTCAGGACTGTGTAATTATTCCATTTATATGTTATACTTCCATTGATTATCTTTTCCTTGGCTCCACTGTTAAAGTTAAAACTCCTTATATGAAGAAACCGTATTTATTCTTTCATATTTTTGTCAAGCCTATTATTTTATAGTCTTTGTAGGCATCAACGAATGCTGACTGACCGGCATTTAAGTTTATGCTGTATGCATGGAGTGGCTTGCTTTTTTTTTTACTAGTTCAGAATCAAGATAAGAAATACCGGTGGCATATGCTGATGAATTCCGAGAGTTATACTACAATCTACATTGCAAAGTCTGTGAAATCTATTTTGGAGTAGGAGGCACTATGACTCCCGAGGTTGTTAATGATTGGTCTAAGGACTGTGGCACATTTGCATTCCCAGAGTTGCATTCTTAGAGAGCGTTAAGTTGCTGTTAGGGAATAGCTGTAAATTGCAGTCCTTTCAATATTTAAAGTATTTTCTGTTTTTAATATTAAGTCTCATATTCTCTCAAGTCCAGTTCGTGGAATGTGTATTTTATTGTTGAAAGGAAAATTCATCTGCCTAAATAATATTCAGTTTCCCAAGTGACTAGCAGGATGAGGTATACCATGTTAACAATAGAAAAGTATAATTTAAAAAAATAGGATGAAAGATGTTCAGATAAACGGATGTGTAGGATGAAGATACGCCTATTTTCTTCTAAAAAATCATAACTATTTAAATGGCACAGAGTGTTAAAGTAGTTAACAGTTTATTTCTGTTAAGCATGCTGGCTTATTTTTCTACATATTTGTTTCTAAACTTGCCATTATCTTCAATAAGATCCTGCGAATTCATATGCCCAATGTATGTATTTATGTCTTAGTGATATTTAGATTTTTAAGTATTGATAATTCAAGCTTAGGACAAAAGTTATGAGAATGTATCCATAGACTAGGAATTGATCATAGAATGAAATAAGCAGCCATAAGGTTCACCTAAATACAGCTGCTGGGAGTTGGAGGGGCTCTTCCAGGTGAGTGTCACAGGGAAACATCTGGAAAAACTGGGGAAGTTTTAAAAATCCTAGGTTTTCTTGATTCTGGAGTAATTCTGTTATCTATTTCAAGTAGTAAAGAAAGTTCTAGGTTGCTGTGATAGTTGAAATCCATTTCAAATGGTAAGGAAAGAAAGATGGGCCCATATATGCCAAGGTAAAACATTTCCTAGAAATTTGTAGGCTGTAGAACCATATATTTCAATGGCTGAGACATAAACCGCAAGTACAAAAGTCACATACTCTCTAATGAGGCTATTTCAAAATTCTTTAGAATATTCATAGTAGAGTTCTCATTTATGCACATCGTAGTTCGTGTAAATGCACACATTTTTATTTTCTCGCCAAAATAGTTTTCTGGCTGGTTTAATTTTAAAAGTTCTGAGTTGACACAGGGCTTCTTGAGGCAAATAATAGCTCTGGATGCTAATTACAATGTAGTTTTCCAGTTTATAACGGTTCTCTAGAGAAGACAGATTCCCTGAAACTGTTTTGATTTCAGCCATATTTGCTTTGCCACCGTTGTTATTGGAGTGAAGTCTGTCAGAATATTTTACAGCAGTAAGATGATAAGTATAATGATAGGTATAATGTGAGTGCAAATTCTGCCTAAGCAAAGTATAATACATTTGCATTAGAGGGGTTTCTACCATACCAACATCCCTGCTTATAAGTTATGTCATTGCTACTGCTCTTACATTCCAAGTTGAAGGTTTAAAAATAGAGACTGAGTTTCATATTCTCTAATATGAAAACAAGTGATGTCTGGGAATTGTTTTGGGGAGTTAATATGTATGCACATTTGTGCTCATTATATTTCTATTTGCTTCTGGTGGAATTCACTTAAGGAATGATGGAAAACTTTTGAAATAAGATGTGTAACGTGCAGAAAAAATGTATTCAAGTATTTCAGAGACATTGAGACAACAGAGTTTATCATTACTTCCAACCCTCTAGCTCATCTTCAGAGAGCACAAACAACATAACTTGCTATAATCTTTAGTACAAGAATATGTTTCCACGATTTGGTTCAGGCACACCAAATGAAGAAGCGTATGTGTTTGTCTGCAAAAGCACTTAGCTTTTGGTAAATACTGTTTGGTGCACAGTACTCAAAATAAGTCTATAGAAACAACCTCTTTTAGTTGTGGTATTTACATATAATATCAAGCCTGATGATAGTTTTACTTCTAGTATTCAGTTTTAAATGACAGTAAAACCTGCTAAAGCCAGAACCTGTGTAAGGGGGAAACCTGTCAGAGAAGGAAAATGCAAATATTTTCCACTAATAGCGATAGAAGTGTTAAGACTGGACCCTGTCAAAGGCAGAAAACTTGCAAGACACAGCAAAACAAGGCAGTCCCTTCAAGCTCCGTCTCTCACGGGTTTCACCGTACTTACTACTGATGGGAATTTGCTCGTTTAGCAGCAAAACTGTTGAACATACAAATCTTTAAAAAGTTATTTTTAAAAACTACAATTGGACAGACCACAGTGCAATAACATTTGAGGTTTTAGTTTTAAATGGCAGTTCTGGCTTTTAGTTTGAGGGTGGTTGAAGGTCAGAAAATAATATCATCTGCTTCAAGAACTGGCTTGTTTTTCCTCCTTAAATTTGAGTTAGTTGTTTTCTTAGTGTTTAAACTTTCCTCTGAAAAATTTGAACAATTGAATGTTTGAAAGTCATCTGAAACACATTTTAGAGTTTTCTTAACTACAAGATTGATGATAAAAATAATGCAGAAAATTGCAAAACTGAAAAAGAATCTGGCAAGTTAAGCAAGAACCCAATCATGAAACCAGTTGTAGTTGGAATAGTCCCAAAGGATCATTGATAAATTTGAAGCAAAAAATTAATTTAAAACTATTCACATCCAGTGAATGGCTTATATATGGAAGTCATTAATTCAGATATATAGAAACAATCAATCCTCACTTTATAGAAATGACTTAATTATATCATTTAGAATCAAAATACTTTCTTCTTAGAGGGAAGAGTTTGAACCCATGTAACTTCCATGGGAAAACAGTTCTTGTTAAAAAATCTTTCATGAATACATTGTTTTGTTTTCATTGAATTCATTTTTATCAAAATGTAAATTCCTTTGAATTTTGAAGTCTCATTCTTAACTAAAATATAAAATTCTTACTTAACTTTGTTTCAATTATATTAAAAGATTAAACTGAATCAGGTACAGACAACTGAGCAGCTATTAACAACCTAGCAAAAATAAAGAAGTTGGCTTGAATTTTTCAGCATTTGTCAGTAATTAAAGACACATAGTATAACATTTATTTAAAAACCATTATGTCATTCTCAATATTTCTACCATCATTCATTGAGATACAAATTTTAGGAAAAGTGGATTTTGTATATAACATAATCTCTTAAGCCGTTTGTTTTAAATTTCCACAGTTTTCCTTAGTTTATCAAAGGTTTTTTTTTTTATCTTCTAATTGAAATTTTTTTATGAGTGTATAAATTTGTTCTGTGGTGATTGTATGTACAGTCCCTCATTAATATTGAGTGAATTTCCACTGAATTGATTCATTATTTTCTTGTTTTATAACGACAATATAAGAAAATATTTTTACATTTCAAGCTATTGATTTTTATCTTCAACATGTTTTCCCTTTATTTTATAATATTTACTGTGCAAATTTAGCTTTTATAAGATTTAATATCATTGAATTAAAAATCAAGGAATTCCAAAGTAGTTTTCACATCTACTATTATGTGATATTCTATAACATACAAACACATTGGCAGTAAAGCTTCCACTTATATCATTTACTGTGAAAAAAAAATTATCTCATATTAATATGAAATGGAATCCTCATACTATATATAGATATATTTTGTACCCATTAAAAGAATCTTAATCTGTTTCATTACTTTGCATAGCAAATCAAAATACAGCTCTTTTCCTTATGCTGTTTTAATACAACGGTCATCATTTGTACATCTCACACACACACACACACATACACACAACTGTGGCAAAGAAACTTTCTTCTGAATTGATCATTTGAGCTTGTTTGCATGCCTCCAGAGACTTAATCTTGTTGTTGATGAATATCCTCGTGCCTAAGAATTTTATAGATAACCCAGTAGAAAATATTGAAAATCAAAAAGGCTAATGGGAAGCAGGCTCGGGAGATGGTGTCTATCTTCTTGGCCCGGTCGATAAAGACCTTTCTCATTTCATCTGGGCTTTTCAGCATTCCCTGGCCAGGACGGTTTGGGCCCTTTGGGATCATACCATCTTTTGCTTGCAGACATGGCCCCATTCCATAGGCTGTGAAGTTGAATCGGCTTTCCCTTACCTCATCATCCTGTCACAAGAAAAATGTAAGAACAGCCTTTAGCAATGGAATGGAGCATGTCTAACAGGCATTTCAGAATCACAACTTAAACTTTATTGTGATAAATTCCAACATTAAGATAATCAAAAGATAACTGAAACATATAAAGATGAGTTGCTTTTTTCCCATTAAAGTTTTATTTATGTTATCCTGCTGCACCATATAGATGTGCCCATTAATAAGTATGAAAGTGTCAAATGATATATTTTACTGGAAAAATTAAAGAATTCTAGTATTGTCTACATAATGCTAGAATATCTAAGTAAAAAGAACATGAAAAACATATATTGGATACTGGGTCATATATATTCATATACTTGTTTGTTTTTTATATTATGAGTCTAAATGAGTCTAAACATGTGATTTCAAAAGGAGAAAATACCAGAATCATTGACTAAATTTTTATTTCTCATGGAGGAAAAGTTTTTAATGGTTGTTTGCTTTAATTTTAAGTTTCTTCCTTGGAAAATACCATCTGGCTCAGGAACACAGCGTGGTTTTTTAATTCTCTTTTTATACTAGTTTTCAGTTTTACACTAACTCTTTTAGAAGATCTATAAGATATTCAGAGATTCTAGTTTATATAGAGGCACATTGGTTTGGTTGAAATTATTAAGGAAATTTGTAAGAAGTTTATTTCATGTTTTAAAAAAATTTTAATGTCTTTAAAAATTACTATCGTGCTTCTAACAAGTATGGTTGCTTTTCTTTTACATGTGGTAAATTGGAGAGAATTTTCCATGTATGTTATTGAAAAGTAAATCAAAATTTTATGGTAAAAGTATTAATAAACATGATAAATGAGATGTGTTCATGATAGAAGAATATGGTACTTAATAATGGATAATGAAATTTATTAATGAATAATTTAATGCATTTACTTAGAATGTAACAGTAGATGGCTATGTATAAATTAAATAGACTTTTTTGTTACTAAAATTGAAAGTTTAAAAGATAACAGTTCTAACATTTATAAAGTTATATCTCTCTGACAGCAATTTTTGGTAGTGATATAAAAGATAAAGATAATTAATTGTCTCAAACTGTTGAAAAATTATTTGGGGACTATGAACATAATTGCACAATGAACAGCATATTAAAAATATGAAAGTTAAAAATAGAAGTTATAATGGGTTCTAAAAATGAGCAGATTGCCAAAGCTGATGCAGTAACACACGAAATAGTGTTTCAGGAACTATGACAGTAAGAGAATTCCACCTGCAGAACGAAAGCATATAATTATTGGGAAATAATCTGAACTGTAAAATGTATGAACAATTGAATAATGAGAAAGCAATTCTGAAATAAAAGCTGATGATCCACATTACATGTGATTACTGTGTAATCTTTCAAGAACTGGAAATTGATTTCCCAGTACTCTTTGATAAGCATTTTCATTTACTCTGGTGATTCTTTTGGTTTCCATGGAAATTTTAAGTCTAATTTATACTTTGCTTTGATATTTTCTATAAATATATTTTGAAAAAAGTAGATAAACTAGGGATTATACTGTTCACATGTAAGAGCTAAAATAGCACACTTATAATTTAGTAAATCATGATGGTGTTTGCATTCCAAAACAAAATGTAGGTCACCCAGGTGGGTCAATCAGCTGAATGTTGAAATATAAAATAACCTTTTAAATTACATCCACCCATATGTTTAAAAATATCCATCTCAAAATAGGATGACATAGAAACTTCTCAAAGTGTGTTTATAATTTTGATGTTGATGCATTAGTTCAACCAATTGGGAAATTAATTATTAAGATGCTAAGATTTCATAATATTAGTTGATGCATTTAGTAAAGCAGAATCCACTGACTAATTTTTTTAACTATCTGTTGTGGAGAACTTATTGTTTTCAGAACCCAAATGTTCATCTCAAAACAGAGACAATCCATTTAGTTAACATATTTAGTGAACAATGATATTTATCTGAACTGCATGTTTCCATATAACTAACTGTGAATAAAGGGTTAACATCAGGCATGGGCTGTTGCAAGACTTCTGAGAATGACGTCTAATTCCTATAGCATCGTTTCCTTGGAAACAGTGCATTTAAGCTAAACAGGGAGTGTGGGTCCTCATTTACTGCACCTGCTTTGGGGTAGCTGTGCGTTGGCCTGAAGACGTTGAGCCTACCTGACTTGACGGCACACAAATTTGGTGGGAAATAAAGGCTGTAGCTGATCTATGTCAAGGCGATCATATGCACCGTGACTTTTGTCCTTGGCAGTTATATGCCAAGAAGACAAAAGAAGCAATGTTCTTGAATAGCTGCAGTGCATTCCAATGAGATGAAGACGCTGTGCTTGGTGTATCTCCTGCCTCACATTCTCCTATAAAGCTAAGTGAATGTAATATTAGGTCAAAGCTTGTTTCTGCCTGAGGGGTCTGCTTGCCAATTTGAACCAAAAATCTCAGTGGTGGTGAAAGAAGCTGACCTGGCTTTCAGATCTTTTCAATATGACTGAAAGTTCCAGAAGGGAGTTCTCATGAGAATGTGATGCCTGAGTGCCTGTTGAGCCAGCTGGGGTTTCAAGCAGCAAAAGCTCTGCAGGAAATAACTGGGGGTCAATCTTACCACTGGGATCTGGATAACACAGATTTGTCCCCTGATGAATTAGCAAATGGATGATCCGTGAGATAAACTGAGGGGAAACAGGGTGATAAACTGAGGGGGAAATGGCTCAAGATACAATTCATTCCTTGTTTTCTGTTAATGAATTATCCTTGTGAAATTGAAACCACTGAGGGAAAAGAGAAACCAGAGCATGTAAAGCAAGCAGCTCTCTGGCCTGTGCTCAAGATGAAAACAGATCCATTCTGTAAAACAGAACAAAAGCTCACTTGGACTTGGAAGGACATTGCACTTAATCCTGATGTCAACTCTCTGCAACACCAGGCAAATAACAGTGGAAACTAGCAACTATATAGTGCATCCCTGTCCAATAGAAATATAATATGAACCACAAATGAGAGCCATGTGTGCAATTTTAAATTTTATATTAGCCACGTTTTAACAAGTTAAAATAGATAGGTAAAATTAATAATGTATTTTCTTTAATCCAATAGGTCCAAACTATTATGGCAACATTTATTCAATGTAAAATTTACGTATGAGATATTTTACATTTTTTATTTTATACCAAGTCCTTGAACTCTGGTGTTATTTTACATTTACAACAGATCTCAATTTAGACTACCTACATTTCTAGTGATCAATAGTCATAAGTGTCTAGTGGCTATCATATTGGACAAAGAAATTATAGTAAAAAAGATCTGGGTCACTTCTCTGAGAAGTACTGGCAAATGTCTAGGTAATCCACATTTTTCTATATTTTAGATTAATTGACCAAAGGACCAATAATATATTTTTGGGTGATGCAGCATGAAATAGAATGTTTGGTATAAATGCTAACTGAACTTGATGCAGTATTGCCATTCGGGAACTACTGACTCTTTTGAAGTGGGTGAGGGTTGGGGTGGTGTGAATCTATGCTAAGAAGGTAAACTGCCTAGTACCCTCATTGCTGTGATATAGAACACCATTTTAGAAGAAGTAGTTATGTTAAATGCAGTAGCAAACCTGCGTTGGTCATATGATAATCAGAGATGAGCCTCCCTAAATGATATCCTCTGACCCAAACTCTAAGTTGTGATTAGGATTGTCCCTTAGGCATGGGTTTCCCACGTGAGCCTCCTTTTGGAGGCAGGAGAGTATAGATGTATGGGCACATGTACTCTTGCATCTGCCATGCTGAGTTTCACTGATGGAAAAAAAAAATCTGGACTCTTCAGAGGAAAAATGATGGTTAGAGGTCCATCTAGTAGCTTTCTTTGGGCAGCTATTAAGACGTGGAATGAACAGGGCAAAAATTGACAGGATTGTTATGAAAGATTTATATTTTGCAAGGTGGGAGGAGGGAAATCTGTTCAAGTTCCAGCAGTTGCTTCCCCCAAGGAACCCTATTAGATCTGCTCCTTTCATCTCAGAAGTTAATGATCCCAGTGGGGAATGGAAACAAAAGGCACTGACAAGGTTTGTTAAATTTGCTCCATTAGGTAAGGCAGTTAAAGCCAAAGAAGATTCCATGGAGGGCCAGGAACTTCTTGCCCAATTCTGAGTGGGGTTCCAAGCCTATGCTATGATTAAAATGGAATGATTGAGGGCTGGTGAACACAACTTTTTGGGATTGCCATATACTTACTTGGGAGTGAAGAAGGCAATATTAAGAGCAAAAGAGAAGCTGGGCGGAGGAAGGAAGGAACAGAGTGATGGTCAGAGTAAAACTGTAGATAGAAACATGAGACAGTAAGATACATCCAGTAAGTAGTATCACCTTTGGCTAAATGTATAAGTGGAAAGGATGTGATGTATAAACGGAAGTTCTTGCCATTTGTGGCTTAAGCCTAATCTTGGGCAAGTCCTTCTTTGGCTGGGTTTTAATTGGATGCACTAAAATCGAAGCCCTTGGATTACCTTGGCTTTCCTCTGTAGTAAATATTAATCAATACAGAATACTAGGAAGATAATGGGAAACCTCTGCTCAGGGTGGGTAGTCTTAAGGGTGATAGTCTTCATTAATTCTCTCTGGATAAAACCAGATGGGTCCTCCACACTGGCTGTTGACTACAGTGGGTTCAATAAAGAAATTTTCTAGCAGTCTCCATGGTGAAAACTATTTAGAGCTTCAGAAGGCCAGAGGACGCTAGGATACTTTCATAGGATACTTGCCTAATGCTTTCTTTTTATTCCCAATCTAAAAACAATCAAACACAATACACCTTCATGTGGGGTACACTCACTTACAACCTGATTGTTCTACCCTAAGAGAACCTGAATTTTTCAGCATATTGTTACAACCTGGTAAGAAAAAGATTGGTCTACATCACTGTCAAAAGTAAGTTGATTAATGACAAATGATAGTTTTCCTGTCAACGGAGAAAGTGAAGGAGGGTTTGAAA